ACTGTGAAGATTCTACTACTGTCAGCTTGAAGTGTTAACCTGATGGCATCCAAATGACCCCAAACCTGCATGTCAACCCTGGGGTGATCCAGCCCTCACCAGGCAACCATGTACCAAACAAAGCTACAAAGTCACCAGACCCGTGTTTTTTTTGTTGTTTTGTTTTTTTTAAAGTCTCAAATTTTAAAAAACTGAATGGAGACTCATTATTCATATAGGAGCGCTAGAAGCAGCTGATCGTCGGTGGATGGAAAATGTGAAAAGCACGCCTCATTCATAAACTCCTCGTTCAGCCAGACTTAACAGCTTCCACATTAGCAAAATTGACAAGGGTGAGAACGGCGTGTGCAGGATCTCTGGAGAGTCTTACTCAAGCCTCCACCCGGTACGCACTGAGACCTGGGGCAGGCTGAGTGATGGGTCTGTGGCCGGGACGTCCCAGGATAGCCCACTTCGGTCTCCACCCCCCTCCCCTGCCCCCCAGAGCAAACTGCTGCAGTGTAGGTCGGCAGTGGGAGTCCTGCCGGAATGATGCTTTACCCAATTCTCTCAATGCCAGGCCTTACCGAGAATCCCCACCCCAACCCCAAGAAGTTCACAAGGGGCCAGGCCATCTACATCCTCTTAAGTCACCAGGGAGGCTTGGAATATGCCCCTCCCCTTCTCCAAGACCTCACACTTCTCCATCTTGATGAAGAGCTTTGGTCTCTGGGGAGCACTCCCGGATCCCTTGGTCCCAATTCCCTGAGCACCTTCCTCTGTGCTCCAGCTGCTCACTGCTGAGGACTCATTTCATTGTTGGTTCTCAAGTCTGATGGTCTCCTACCCTTAGACGGTAACGAGCAAAGGGACATCTTCTTGTTCACCACTGTGTCCCTACTGCTTAGAACATTGCCTGGCACATAGTAGGTCCGAGGGTTCTATGGAGCGAATGAGTGAATCCTGGCAGCAGTACCTGGATTCCTGCCTGGGAGGCAAGCAGGGGTGGCAATATACTTGGAAGGGGATGGAGACTCACAGAGCAAACTCTTAGCTTTTACTGCCAATAGTAGATTCCCTGTAAATGTGGATGCTGATAAAGATCTGGCGGGGGGGTAGTTAAAGCACTCCGTAACACCTCTTTGGGGATCCCCAGTTGTGCTGGATTGGTTGTTTCCATGTCTGGCTTCCAGCTTGATCATAAGCTCCTAGAGTATGAGTCTTACTCATCCCTATACCTCCCCAGCCTCCATCAAGGTCTGTACCCACCCACAGGGGCAGAAGAAATGCACGAATGAGTATACGAATAAATAGTAAAACCTCTCCTGAGACTGGCCTGTCTGCCTTGGTCAATGGATGCCAGGAGCCAAAGTGTGTGCTCATTTCAGTTTAAAACCAAGAACATAGCTTTGGGGTCAGGGTGGGAGGCAGGTCCAGCCAAGACGTGAGAGCCAGACTTGGGAAGCTCCAGCGCAGCATGAGAAGCCAGAAAACAGAGCCGGAAAGAGATAAGGCCATCCTGATAGATGCTTTGTAAAAGAGGTTCAAGTACACACTGGATGAACTTCTGAGTTTCCTGTTTTTAAAACTTCCTTATGATGAAGTTGGAGTTGGACATCATCCCTTTCAGCAGGGGGGTTTTGCTTGTCTGGAATAATCAGGCACCTGTGGCTCAGTCCATGTGCGTAAGCATAGCAGAAAAATGGCAACCAGTAACCACGAAGTCAGTGGGCTAAGGTGGCTGGAGTACTGGGCTCTGGAGTGGCTGGTTCTGCTGGGCGTCCACCCTTGAGCCTGACGGGCCCCAGCTATGAAGCAGGGAGGCCAGGCCACGTCATCTCTGAAATCCCTTCCAGCCCTGCAATTCTAAGATTTGAGTCTCAGTCACACTGAGAACTCCAGCAGAAGGTACTGGTTTGTACAGGCATGAGCTAAAGTGCCATAAAATACGGATGTATAGAATTTACTGGAATAAATACTTCCGTTATTTGAGCATAGGGATTTCAAACAATTAGTGAAAATAACCCTAATTTTAAGTGGCAGTTGTTCATTCTAGGATGTCTGCTCATCAAAAAATTTACAAAGCACAACTGCTTCTCCTTCTCACTGCTAAATTACAATATTTTGAGTGGTGTTCGTTTTTCCTTGTGAGTTCTTAAGCAGAATATGCTACAGAAACAGGCACGTTCTTTTGTCTGTCAAGCATTACCACGGACCCGGTGTTTTTTTGTTAAAGAAAGTTAACCTTACTACACCTTGGTTTCCTCATTTATAAAGTAGGAAGGAGTAGAGTTTATTCATGTCAAAAGATGGAAGAGGTTATGCCCTGTGAGCCCCCAAATGCACTTTGCTACTTCCTCTGGGGTCACCAGCAGCACAGCTGAGCAAGTTGGCTACCCGGTGACATCTCCCTGGTAACACACAGGGCCCTCCCAGCAGGAGTCAAGGTGACCCAGGTAGTGACAGATGCCCCTCTCCCCCAGTGTCAAAGATGAGGAGGGCCACATATTTCTAATAAGAATACCAAACACAGATAGTAGGGGTGATCTCTTCCTGGGCAGTTTAAGTTAAACTGTGTTCCCACGAGCTCTGTATAAAACGCAGGGATCTTCAAAGCTAACAACACTGGTAGTAACTTGTGAACCCATCCTACAGAGGAACAAGCAGAGGCTCGCAGAGGCCTGCAGAGGAAACTGATTTGCCCAAGCAGAAAATGGCAAGTCTCCCAAGTTCTCCTCACTGATTCCCACGTTGTGTTTACTTAAGAAATTTGGGGTCCTTGACAAGTTGGCCCCATGTACCGCTGTCAGGGGCTGTGCTGGACCGTGGATAGTTAGTTGCCCTGGGAGTCTTACTTCACCTCCGTGAGGCAGTTATTATAAAAGCTCCATTTCGCAGACGGCATTCTGTGAATATGGAACTTACTTTGCCCGCTGGCCAGAGTGAGTCACGGGAAGTCTGAGGGCTGGACGGACTCGGGTTCAAATTCCCGTTCTGGCCCAAAGCGATGTTTGAGACCATAACTCTTGAGGATCAGTAGTCCTATCTATAAAATGGGGATAAGTACTTGGGTACCATGGTGAGGGGGGCCTCAGAACTTGGAAAGAAGAGCACCATTCCAGAATGAAACAAACACGAACAGTTCTAAGATGAAAGCAGAGAAGTCAGATTATGTTTAAGAAACCAGATGAGTTCTCAGTCAGAAAGACTTGGCAGTCCCCTGACTGAACATTAATTAAAAGCCTTAATTGAAAGTAGTAATTAATCGTATGGGAAATTTTAATGTGTTTCCCCCTCGTGGTTTTAAGTTTCAGGAGACAGGAACCAGGCCCATCTTTTACTGTCTTTACCCATGCACCTAGTCACATAGGAAGCACTCAGTACATGAGAAAATGGACCATGGCTAGAGGACGAATACATCAGTCAGAAAGGTTAGCAGGGGAAGCCCAGAAAAATACAAAATAAGGCCAGGCCCACAGTGGCCATCCAAGCTGACCATGAGAGGACAAACTTGCACACAACCCTCCAGGCTGATTCAGATCTCCCTGGAAATGTGTTCACAGGCTGGTCACACCAACATCATCTGGGCCCTGGCAGGATTATTTGTGTAAAATTAGTGAGCTGGCCTTCTGGGTCACGCAGAAGTCTGAGAGCTAGTACCACCCATTTCCACAGGGAGTAAGTAAGCCTGCTGTCAGGTGCAGCCAAACCCAGGACCACGACAGGTCGGTAAGGTCAAGCAAGCCTCCTCATGAGGTCTCTTGCAGGCAGCTCTATAGGCCACGCCCAGGTGATCCTTGAATCCCTGACCAGAAGGGTTTGTTGTTACTTTTTTGAGAACACCTACTTTGTAAGGTTGTTGTAAGGACACAGGGAATGAAAAGGACCCGCACAAAGTGTGCCCTCAATCAACAGTAAGATTATTGCGACTCTTTAAGGTGCACATCTAATACAGGACCGAGTCAGAATTTCATGAAGATGCGCTACTGTCTGCCCATGAAGCTTACGGTACAGAGCAGAAATAAGGACCGTGGGTGAGTTGAACAGCCCAAAGTCTAACAGGGGGCGGTGGCGGGGGAAGCCATGGTGAACAGGAATGACCAGGGGAGAGAGCTCGTGGAATACGGTAGAAGATGAATAAATGGTGAGTCAGCACCAGAGGCCACACCGCCCTCCCACAGGGCAGCGATCATGAGTGGGTAGTGTGCCGTCGTCACAGGGTCCAGGGGGCAATTCTAGCATTTCACCTGTAGAGTGGAGTCAACATGCCGCACGATTCCTGGCATCCCATGCAGTGAGCTGTCCTACCCTAACACCGGCAGCTCCCTGGCGATAAACACCGGATATGGTGACATGTGAGGGGCAAGGTCGTGAAGCCTCAGAGGAACCAGCAGAGTTTGGCACAGGGAGTGAAGGGGAAGCTCCACAAGGACAGAGCCTCACTTACCTACTTCTCTTCAGAGCAAAAGGAAAGGCTTGTTGAGCTAGAGAAGTAAGCATTCTTTTGGCCTGTGGCAAATCACATAGGTCTGTTCCTGTACCATTTTGCTTTGGTATTTGCTCCAGCCTGCTGGTCAGTCTCCAGCCCCAAGCCCAAGATGCAAAGAGGCAGGACGTTCACATGGTTTTTCTGATTTTTTTCTTTACCTACCTTTCTCCAAAAGCCGACACGGCCCCGAGCAATGGGGTGGGTCCCCGGATTGCTCTTGCTTTACAGCATTGGAAGAGGGGACAAAATGCACATTTGTAAACAGCAGGCAAGACGGTGAGGACAGACGGAGACAGAGACACACACACACACACACACACACACACACACCCACACACACACCCACCCACCCACAATAACAAGAAAGCTTTCTGGCTGAAAAGAAAGCAGAACTTTCTGCCCAGTTTGTAAGTACTCAGTTTGCCGTGTTAGAGCCAGGCAAGTTCTTGGAAACGGAAAGGGCAGCCACATTATGCACACAGTGTCACACTTTTCACCCAGAGAACTAGAAAGCAAGCATGCATATACATACCCAACTTGGGCACTGTCACGATAGGGCAGCACTGAAAATATACTACAGAAGGATCTTCTGCCACTGATAAGGACTATTCTAAAAAATAAGAATAAAAAAAAAAGAACAAACAACAAACAACAAACTAAATGCAAGGACTCTTAAATTTAAAAAAAAAAAAAAAAGAAAAGAAACAACTGTAGCAATTAAGCATTCATGGAATTCACAGCAATATTTGCACACTCCCGCCGCCTCCTCTGACAGATGGTATTCTGTGCTCCTTGCAAAATGCAACCTCAGCGCAGCTGAAGCACGTGGCCTCTCCTTACCCAGAGGTTAGCATGCAAGACGCCGGCTCGGGTCTCTAAGGAGTACACACGAGTCCTCCTCAGCGGGAGCTGTTGGCTGTGGGTTGCACAGCAAAATGGAGCAGACAGAGCCATGAGTCTGGGGTGCCCAGTGCTGCCAACAGTCATGCCACACTGAAACCATCCATGTCTCCTCTGTAGTGAACAATGCAAAAGCCATAGTGCCAGAAACCGTGAGCAAGAGATGCTCAGATGCCACGGTGATCGCTGGGTTTTTTTTTTATATGCTGGCAGCACGTTAGGTTCTGAGAATAAATTAAGGGAACGATTACATAATCAGTCTTAGCCTCCATTCCTGCTATAAAGATACGACTGGAAACAGTTCTGCATGATGCTCTTATGCAATCAAAGGCCACTTAAGAAAACATTAAAAAAAATTCTCTCAAGTACTTATCCTGGCATATGAAAATAACTTTTGCCAAAAAGAAATGCTGGTTTAAAAAAAAAAAAAAAAAGACAAGTGGAGAAGATTAAAAACCTAACATTCTTTAACACAGTAGAAACACACATCAGATATGAAATTTACTCTTGTAATCTTTTTCTAAAATAATCATGATGAAAAATCAGAGGGGGGAAAAAAACATCCCAATATCACTAACTGCATCAAGGTTGGGAGACTGTGACCTTGTTTTTACAACTACGATATTACATTGTCGACCTGCCCAGGATAAAGTTGGGTTCCCTGGCATGGCCAAGCAGGCCCTCTGTCTTCTGGCTCTTTCTCCTTCTCTGGTCTCAGCAAACACGACCCCACACCCCCAACTTTATCATCCACCCATGTTAAAGGACTTGTTGTCCCCTACCTTGAAAAGACCCTGCTGTTGCATGCCCGTCCTTTGCCTGCTGGGTCCAACTCAGCAGGCTCAGAGTATTAACTATTTACTCTTCCAAACCCAGCTCAGAAGTCATGGCCCTAGGAAGCATTTCCTCCCCCTTCACCGAGTTCCTCATTTCCTTGTTGGGAAGGACATCAATCACAAAGGGCTGCTCTCCGCTGCCTCCCTGCCCTTCCAGAGGGTGCCCGGCCGTTCCAGAGGGTGCGTCCAAGGGTGGGGCCCACGGCAGCTCCTCCATAAACAGGGCCATGCTGGGCTTCACAGCAGCACCTGAGTCCCCGTCCCTGGGAAGGGAGGACCAGGGCTACCCATTCATCCCACACTGACGCATGTCGCCAGTGGTTAACAGGACTGGAGGCACAGTCCCAGTCTCAAATATCAGCTGTGTCGTCTTTGTATGACCTTCTACCTCTTACTAACTTTTCTGAGCCTCAGTTTCCACAACTAAAATGATAGGATAAAATTACTAACTAGCCCACAGGAATGCTGTAAAGAGTAAGTCAGTCTGTACTGGGAAAGCCCTCGGAACAACGCGTGGCAAACAATGACACTCAATAAATATTAACTAGTTTTACTGGGAACCGCCTTCTTCCCTGGTAAAACTGAGGGAAGTTTTACCAGCAGAGCACCTGGATTCTGAACCTCTTCAGACCTCTGTGCTAAAATATACAGGCCTGCTAAGACGTCAGAGGTGTGCCCAAGGGCAGCTGAGGGATGACACGTGACTGCAGGTGTGTAACCCACACGCAGAGCTGTCTCTCCTCTCTAGAAGGAGAGGCTTTTCATCAGGTACCACAGATCCAAACCTTGTCACTGCCGCAAGAACAAGAATGCCACAAGCAGAGTGGGCCACCAAGGCTTCCAGGGCCAACATCTAAATAAATCGTGAGCATGCCACCTTGCTAAACAGCAGCCAGCCTCCTCGGGCTCTCACTCGGCGACCAGTGGCAGCTTCTCACTGTAAGGCCTCTGCATGTTTACTTACACAGACACAACAATAGTTAATACTTATTAAGTACCCATTAGATGCCCAATTCTAGATGCTTCAACTGATGAAAGTAAGTTAAGTGACATGCCAAAGGGGACACACTAGCAGGTAAGACCAGTCGGGGATCTGAAGCCATGTCCTTCTCCACCTTGTGCCCTGATGCTTTGCCCTTCACTAAGACTCCCTAGAAGAGCCTGCCCCTGTGGGTTTGACTGGGTATCCACGGACTTCCTGGACACCAAGAAGTCAACCTTCACCACATTTTCTAGGGTGGCTTTCCAGCTCCGCCTGTAGGTGACCAGGCTGGGAATGGGTGGGGCCAGAGGGCAACCCATCACAGCCACCCTGACTTCAGAGCTGCCCGGTGCCTCCTCCTCCTCCTCTGCTCAGCTGGAGTGCCTTCCCAGGTGGAAGGACAGAGACTCTGAACAACCCCCACCAGCCCCTGCAATCCACCCAGGAGGAAAGTCTGGAACTACGCGTTCCTCGAGGTGCTCGGTATCCACATCTCCTGCAACAGAGGAAGGAATGGATGGAACAGCCTCAGCTGGCTTAGTGTTAGCGCATTTCCTTCCTTCCTTAGCGCTAATGGGTGCTTCCTTCCCACACGCTGCATTTGTTGGGACATTTCCACTAGAACAAGGAAACGAGAGAACATAAATGCATGTGAAATTAAGTATTCTTTCCAAAGTTCTAACCACAACGTGCCTATTAGCAAATGGGCTGCACTGTTCTCTGAACGAGCGCTCCGCTGTGTGGCCCTCACCATTTAGGTGTCGAGAAGAGGCTGACAGCCTGTCTCATTCAGAAAAATGTGTTCTTCTACTGCACACGTCAAGTTTAGGAACTATGAATATGGAACGTTTCCCAACTATGAATATGGAACGTTTCCCAACAGTCCAGTCAGGCAGGTCCTTTTCCGGTTGGCCATTCTCAAGCAGCTGGAACGGGAAGGAGGTTAAGTAAGAGCATAGCATCCTTCGGTACTTCCCTTCCATTTTTGGGTGGAACTGTCCCGCCGATTCCAACATCATGCAGGGTTCGTAGGAGGAATCCAGAACAGAGACCCGACAGGAGCTCCACATAAGTCTGTGGCTGTTGAAGCCCTGGGGAGCTGGAAATGGCCAACAGAGCTCCCAAGAATGCATCTAACATGTTGCCTAAAGTAGCTTCAGGCTTTAGCTAGAGCAGGCAAATATCAGCAAGTGGCAAGTTCCTGTCTTCTATCTCCTCCACGAGCAACTTGGAGCAGTGTGAACCTAAAGAAAGGCCCATCGTGACCAACTGCTGTGTCCCAAACCTGGAGGATTCCTGTGAATTTGCGGCTTTCTTCTTTGTAAGTGTTGGGGACATATCCATCGTCATGGTGATGCCCAAGAAAATCAGATTTGTTCACCTTCTTCAAGTGCCTCTGGATTTGTGAGAGAATTAAATCAGATGGTAGCTGTCAAGAATGACACAAGACAGCCACATTCCATTTCCAGGGGACTTTGGAAACTGGCTACCTCCATGTGTTGGCCTCCAACCACTGTATTTATTTCTTGTATGCCCACATTGCACGCAGAAAGCCCACATGGTTTTCCCTTCTGTGCCACTCAACACAGAGTCAAGGTGACCAGAAAACATTATACAAAAGACTCTAACTTCAAAATAGGAATTAACTCCAGAGAGACAGATCTTTAAGAAATTAAAGATCACATTTCCATACAAACATCTGCCAGAGAAGGAAAAAAACAACAAAACAAAGGAAAAAGCTCCCAGGGCGGCAGCCCGCAAGGGCAGAACTGCTTCAAGATACACAATGTTTTCCACACCTCTCCAGGAAGCATGAAGAGCACCGTGTTTCTCCTTCACGCGGCTTCGGCTCCTTGCTTAGAAAAGTGTTTCTGGTATGCGGCAGCGAGGGCTTCAGGCCACAAAGCTTCCAAAGGCACACACTGCCTGTCAGATATTGGAGTGTTCCAAATAGCCCGGAGATGCTCAAGGGCCCCATGGTTGACGGAGTATCACAGACCCATCATTAAATCCACTTTCAACCCCTCAGCCCAGAGCCAGGCAAGATCTCATGCCATTCTGGACCCTCAAGTGTTCCCTCAATTGCTGAAAACTGGCTTTCTGTTCTATTTCCAGAGCCCTGGGGCATCTCTGTTAGCTGTGAGAAAGTTCAATCTCTCCCAGGTGGAATATTCCATGAGAGCAGAAATACGATCTTAAGGACATAAAAACAAGCTACTAACATCTGAAGTTAGAGCAAAGAAAATCACATTTGCAACAACGGTGGGTGAGCACGAACACAGCCGAGGGGTGTCCCTGACCCAGGAGTCTACGTTAGGCATTGGGTGCACATGTACACTGCATTTCCCAATTCTGTAGTCCATTCCCTACATGACCGGGAAGAAAAGAAAAACACACTTTCAAATGCTGGTGTCATGGGTTGAATTGTGTCCCCCCAAAAAGGCATGAAGTCCGTGGCACCTGCAAATGTGGCCAGCAACATGGTCTTCACAGATGCAATCATGTTGGGATGCGTTCATGCTGAATCAGGGTGGGTCTCGACCCAGTGGCTGGATTTCATGAAGACAGACATTTGCAGACACCCAGATACACACAGAGGAAAAGCCGTGTGACAATGGAGGGGTGCACTGGACTGGCATGACCTAGAGCCCAAGCCACCAGGGACTGCCAGCCGCCCCCAGAAGCTGGATTAGGTGACAGATGATTCCTGTCTAGAGCCCTCAGGAGGCAGGCCCCGCTGCCACCTTGCTGACTTTCGGCCTCTGGAGCTGCAAGAGCGCGCACTTGTGAGGTTTTTGGCCCCCTCTTCCGTAACGATTTGTAGGGCAGCCCTGGACAGTGCATCCGCCCGGCGTCCGTCACTTTGTTCCCATGGCTGCACAGCGCCGCATG